AGGCTCACAAAATTTTAAATCAACAATGCATCGGATCATAGAGATGCAGTCGAATTTTGAAAGAAATGTTTACGAGGAAGCATAGCTTACCTGATTTCATGTATGGATCTTATAAAAATCCAAAAGGTCTCCATGGTTTTTGAGATGATTGTTGTGCTTCGCTCTTTGGCCTTTTAGCATGGTGTCACCAACATCACATAAGGTTTTAGAGACTGATTGCTTGCAGATTAATTTGAAGAATTAGAAGCCTACAAAATGATGCAGCCTTTTTACACAACATATATTATCTATCCAGCAGGTAAGTAAATCTTATACAGAATGAGATAATTGACATTTGACAAACCTACATGCATTCACAATAATTGTTTGAGCAACTTCATTTTTTAAAATTGTATCCTCTTTTATGCCTGGCTCTAAATCTTATTTTCCCCATGCACAAGCAAATACAAAACATTAAGAGAAGGTAAAAATGCTTGGAAGGACCAAATTTACAAATGTTAAAAAAAATTAGCAACAACCTCCCTTATAGTTAAGTTGGTAGATGAAAGAAGTGATGCCCTAGTACAATAAGACTGGTGAGTTCAGTGGTAAACTTTGATGCTACCCTATACCAATTGCATAAGAGGTTTTAATTTGGCAAATAAAGTCTAACCTCACAATCAGCATTGAAGCCTGTGGTTTGGCTTGGGCTACCAAGCCATGATGCCCGCCTTCAACTTTTGATCTTGTTTTACTTTCTATTTTATTAGTTTCTGCAACAAATGAAGCGTCTCAACCCTGTAGCCCGTGCTGGTAATTGCTCATTATCATCATCCTGATGCATCCGACTAGGAATCTAGAATGGTAGTAGAGCATTTGAATGGAGAAATTATTAGTATGACATTTTAAAACTTGAAATTACATATAGTGAAGGGAAAAGAAATTATCAACTTAATTTGCTTTTGAATTGTAGGTAATAATGGTAGTAGATAATAAATTTGGTTTTAGCTGCGACATACTATAAATAAATTGAAAAAATAAAAAATATTTAGTAGTAGTACCTAAAAGATTGAAAGAAGGTAAATGCATAATTGAAATCAATCAGGCAGAAGAGGGAATTAAAGAAAAAAGATTTACTATTATATATAGTTAAAGGCTGAAGATACCTCAATGGGATTTCCATTGATTTGGATCCATCTGTCGTCTATTTCAATAAATCGAATGTGAGAGATGTAGTCCCACTCAGAACCACTTCCACTGGCGCACCTTTCCTTTAACTCTGGGCATCTTTCAATAAAAAGCCTCTCTAATTTGGAGAGGCATCGGATGGCTTCCATATGTTTCAAAGATTTGCAGTTGTCAATCCGCAGAGTTTGAAGAGAGGATAAGTTTCCAAACCAATTTGGCAAAGCTTCCAGTCCATCAAAATCCCTTATTTGGAGATACGTAAGGGCAGTTAGGTGTTGAATTTGATCCAGTAGACGTTCTCTTGGTTCTCCCCATGCAATCAAAGTCAAATCTTCAAGATGAGATCCGATGAAGCCCAGATCTGGAAATTCTTGGAGCTTTGTTGAGAAACCACCAATAGTCAGCTTCTTCAAGCGAGCAAGCCAGGCAGGGTTAGGAATGCTCCAACTCCTCCTCAAATCATCTGGAATAGAGATTAGATTATCACAGTTGGCGATAGCCAATTGCTCAAGAGCAGTGCATGATGGCAACCCACTTAGCAAACTTCTTAATCCACCACAACCCATTATCCATAAAGTCTGAAGAGATGAAAACCCATGGAGGCTCGGAAGGGATGTTAGACCTTTACAACCTGATATGCTCAACCTTTTGAGACACGTGGCGGTAGATGAACTCTCCCCTATGCTTTTCAATGTCCCACAGCTGAATATATCAACAATTTTTTGAAGAGAGGAAAGCCTGTGGAGGCTCGGAAGGGATGTTAGGCCATTACAAATTACTATGCTCAACTCTTCGAAACACGTGGCGGTAGATAAACTCTCCTCTATGCTTTTCAAATCGTCACAGTTGAATATATGAATTTTTTGAAGAGAGGAAAGCCCATGGAGGCTCGGAAGGGACGTCAAACCAGTACAGCCGCCTATAGTCAACTCTTTAAGACACGTGGCAGTAGATAAACTCTTCCCTATGCTTTTCAATTCCCTACTACACCGGCTTATATTAATTTTTTGAAGAGAGGAAAGCCCATGTAAACTGGGCATGGACATCAACCTACCACATCCGTCAATATTTAACTCTTGCAGACACGTGGAGGCAAATCGAGCATCGTCCCCAATCATCCTCAATTCTGAGCAACGCCAAAGTTCAAGTTTCTCAAGGGATTGTAATTTACTAATCATCGGAAGATTTTCCAATTTACCACAACCCCCTATCTCTACTTCTTTGAGAGACTTCATGGCAACTGGGCCAACCTCGACCTCAACCAGTTCTTCACAGTCCACAATGATGAGTTTCTGAAGGAACCAACATGCAATGCTTTTCAAATTCTTGCAATTTTTAATTTCCACCTTTGCCTCACTTTTGAGTGAAAGTGATGGAATTCTTTCCAACCAGGGACATTGATAAAGGGACATGAACACTAGATTTTTGAGAAAATTCACCCTGTCTAACATTGAAATTTCTATTTTTGACATCCATGCAGGCCAACTTTTTCCACAATAGTTTTCAACAATAAGGCCTTTCAAATTTGAATGACGTTGGAGGCCTTCTAAGATATCTTCATCATGTTTGCATCTATCTTCACTACCATTGTATTCCTCACCAAATACCAATTGCAACTCCTGAATCGCATCCTTTTCAATAAGTCTTGCTCCCATGGCTTCTTCTTTGTCTCTAACCATATCCAAATTACGAATCTCTAATTTTCCCTTGAGTTGGCTTAAACATCCCAATTCTTCAATTTGATGTCCCTTCTGTTGTGCTACAACAAATAATTGTAATGTTTTCAGACAAGTTAGTTTACCAATGCCTGCTGGCATAAGATTCCACTGGTTGAAATAAATGTGTCTCAAATTGACTAAATCCCATATTCCTTCCAAAGGCCTGTTGATTTCCCAGCAATACAGAAATCTAAATGTTTGCAAATGATAAAGCTTGGTGATGAACCTAGGAAGTTCTTTGATTCTAGTTCCTGAAACATCCAAGAACCTTAAATGCTTCATTTTCCCCAAAAAAGCCGGCAACTCATCAATATTAGCACCACAAAAACTAAGAACCCGCACCTTTCTCAAATTCATTGACATACTGTGAAAGACATCAACTTGTGAAAACAAAGTGTGCAATTTTTTAGTGGCATCCACAAATCTTGTTGTTGCCGTACCCTTATCAGAAATGACATTTAAATGTTGAATGTTTGTAGGAATATTCCTTCCACTGCCATCTTCCAAAATCAAAGTTTGGGACTTTGAAACAAATTTTGCAAGATCATGAACTAAATCATGCATTTTGCAAGCAATAATGCTCCCATAAGAATCTCTTTCAGCATCTTGAAATAAAGAATATGATGACAATGCATTGAAATACCTATCACCAATATCCTCCATCTCCATGT